GTATAGCTTACAGGAAGCTTGATTTGCTCCTCTAAAGCTCAGTTATACAACAACTGTGCAGGACCTTGTTGTGATCCTGTAGCTCCCCACCCTGAACCCTGTCTGCATCCAAAGTTACAACATGCAGGTTAGTCCCTGTTTAGGGATTCCACCTGTATAACAAATTGCAGAGATGTCTGAATTCCTAATGAAATGTTCCCACTGCCTGCCATCAGCTGTAATCACACTCCAAAGTCCCCAGAGGGTCCACCTTAATGGTCAGCATAGCGACTCCACAGACTGCTCTAACTATTACACTAACAGGTAACACCTTAAAAAGAGACACTTGTTCCACTGAAATTGGCCACCTGGGCTTTGTCCCACTTTCCACTGACCTACTTATACGTTTTGGACATATATTCAGTCCTGTTGTACCAAGCTATGAACTTGTTTATGCTCTGACTAAGAAGGTTGCAAAATGCAATAAACTGGGGTATATTTTGGGGTCCATGGAAACTTCTTGGAGTCTCACAAAATGCTGAATTAAGGAAAGGTGGAAATCTGTCAGCTAATAGCCTTTACTGGTCACCATGAGGACAGCAATGTGGGGAATCTACATGATCCATGTTTTGTGTCTAGGTCTTGGTTACCGGGCTTGACCATCCTTTCTCAGATCTCAGTTGGGATTTGCTCCTCTGTCTCTGCTTCAGAACTCTAATGTTAGACCAGAAGGCAAAGTCTGAAAACGATGGATTATAGTTATGTTGTGCAGAATAATTAATCTCAGACATTTGATCTAAAACCAGTGTATTTCACACTTCTTAATGGGACAAATAACAGATGGTTAAACTGCCACCTTCATTTGAGCAAGAGAAAAAGCAAATAAATTATTAAACATACAAAGTTCAACATAAAAGCAGGCTGTACAATAATCTGTTATTAGAAATACACATATATTTTTAAGCATTAAATAGCACACTTGAAATGTTCGGGAACTGACAAAGAAACTACATTTTCCAGAGTTTTCATGAAAGCAACACAAGTATGTGCACGTGCGTGGGATTTGACGCGCGTCGGGTGTTTGGTTAAAATTTATATGGCGAAAATGGATGAAACTCGAACTTTCTAAATAAACCCAGTAGCACATAGTAGAACCTTCATTTGTTTTAATGTTTTATTTATTTGATAAAAATCAGACGGGTACACCCGAACTGACGAGCTTCCATGAACCGACTAATCTTTGGCACCTGAAGGACGGCTCCTCCAAGCTCCACATCTACGTGACCTGGTCCAGAGTGTGTAAGCGGGTTCACGGCAGAGCCAGCTTGCTGTTTGAAACATGCGGTCTGAGGTACGCTCCTGAGAGGGGCGGCAAAAGGAGGAGGCGGCCTATAGGGTTCGGTGAGTCCGCCATTACTAACACTGACTTCCGCTAGCAAAAAAAGGGACAAAACTCGGTTCAGAGGTCCTGTTGATTATACACATCTCATTCTGCCGCAGGTAGCTTCCACAGCTTGTTTAGCTTTCCGACTGAAACCTCTTCATGAAGACTGTTTGGCAAACTGTTGGAAGTTATAATGAGTGTTTATGGGGTTAGTAATGCAGAGATGGTGATAAGTGAAGCAAATTGGAGAAGAATGTGTCCGTAAGAATGCCGGGTCATAATTACAGGCCTGTCAGTCAGAGGAACTAAAGGTAACTGTTGTAGGTAAGCAGATTGTTTGCATTGGGGAAAGTGCTGCTCTAAGACTCAGCGGTGGTATGCACAGTGTGTGTGTGCGCTGATGTGACGTTTCAAGAGGAAAACTAGTGCAGCCACTTGATCCAGGCCAGTTGGTGATCAGCATGTGGTGTATGAAATCAAAACAATTGACCAGTATCACTATTCAGTTTTATTTAAGATTTTCATGTGTTTTTATTATTGTGTTCCGTATTTATTATAAAAATAAGATTCACAAAGCTATAAGTGAAAATACTTGTAAACTATATTACAAAAAAGTTATATGTCTTTTGCTTTTAATTAGGCATTTTTTCTAAGTAAATCTATGTGTTTTGCTGATGTATTGGCCTTCTGTCAATGACATTCTATCTCTCCCATCAGTTTGTCTGATGGGAGAGTACCATCAGTAACAAGAGTTGTGTACTGATGATACACAACTCTTGGTACTCTTGGTACCTACCTTTCTTATTCTAGTATGTTCAAATAGAGGTGCACTGATTGCAGTTTTCTGGCTGACCACAGATGACACATCTTTAATAAGCTTGAACCTGCCGATCTCTTTTTTTCTGAAATGTTCCTACGCAAGAAAGTTGCGGAGTTGGTAACAGTGGGGCGATTATTGTTAACTCCAAACATGCAGACATGACGTGTTGAGCAGGGCTAGCAGTCAAAGCTCTCTCACAGCAGAGCAGAAGAGGACAGTGGCTGATTATTTGACCTTTGCTGTAGATGAGATTGGGGGATAAGATTGACTTCACATGTGTCAGTTGATCACCAATCTCCCAAAATTAAGGAAATTGGCGCCTATAAATCTTCTAGCCTATATGTGAAGCTACACAATGTCACGAATCAGTTTGACTGATAAGGAAGTTCTCTCCTGCTTAAGTTTATTCCGACATATACATTCATGTCATCTGTGTTGTATTGTAAAACTGTCCAGATCCAGAGTCATTTAACAGATTGATTGGAAGTTTAATGAGCTAGCTGGTGGTCTGGGAGCTGTCGGCTGAAGCTCCTCCATATTCAGTATTTATTCGTCAAACGGAAAAGAGCAGAGGTCTGACAGTGTCTGACGCTCTCCTCGTGCTCGGACTGCTGCATCTCACGATTGGGTGTCTGAACCTTGAGTCCAAGAATAGCAGCATTATTTTGTGTGTGTGTGTGTGTTTGAGAGAGAGAGAGCGAGCGAGAGAGAAAATATTTCTCCAAAAAGTGAAAGAATGATGGATTTTTCAGTTTTCACCAATCATAAAGCAGCCTCGGAGATGGAGTGAGCCCACTGTGACGGATGAAAGGATTGTTTTATGTGGAGCTCACATATGACTGTGAGATGTCTGCAGACAGGTGAGGGAAGATCATCGGGCTAAAAATAGAACTGAGAGCATCTCAGTTTTCACTTGGAAACCCAGCCGAAATAATCCTGGTTTTGTTCTCCATCAGCAAGAAGTTCATCCTGGTAACGAAGTGATTAGCTCTCCCAAACAGGCAATCATATTGTTATAATAAATCAGTATCTTTACCATTTTTATCATTTAGAACTGCAAGTAATGTCATGTAAATAATGTAATAATCATAAATAATAATAATCATAAAGAAATAACCTTTTCCACTTTTAAGTAAATGAAGGTTGACGGGGAAAAACAAGGTGTTCAATGAGAGAAAACGGGTAACCAATGTAGCTCTTTCTCGCCTGTTTCACATGGAAGCTGGTTTAATTTAAAAGTAGAAACCCACTGTACTGTCAAAGCCTTACCTCACATGTTTGTTTTTTTAAATTTTGTATGTTGTGGGATGACTGTGGGAACAGTAGCTGCCTGGCAGGGTTTCCCTCAGTGTATTATTAGCCTGGCGGGCCACTAGGCTTTACTTGTGCCCCCACCAGGCTCAGCATTGCTTTTTTTTTTTAAAGTCTTTTTAAAATGTTAGCATTTTTTAAGGCTTTATAGTTTGTGTTCAGGTATTAATCTTCCAATCTTTCAATAACACATATCAAGTGATATTTTCTAATTTCCTGTCAACTTTAAACATTTTTTAACTCAAAAATATGACTGGCCACTGCATGAATGACTGCGGGAAAATGTAAAAAACACATGAAAATAAAGACTTCAGAAACATATAAAAAATAATTAAAACCAGATTCATTTGTGCTTAAATATATAATTTGTTGGCACTAACCTAAAAAAATAAATATGAAGGTGAATTAAATTCTAAATGTTAAGTAAAGTTCTTTTTAAAATTAATTACATTTGAAGTGCATTGATTTATTTGGGCCATATAATAATTTCTGCTATTATCCTTAAAACGACAGTATAGTTTAAAATGTGCCTTTTTTGAGCTTTGCATCTTGTTATGATGTTATTTATAATGTTATAATCTCATCAAAAACATACCTGGAGTGTTGCGTTGATTCTTTCATACATTTTTGACATATCCTTTATAATCTCCATAGCAACCATTCAGCAGTCCAAAACACCTGGGTGGACTCCTCCTTGGAGGCGCAGTTCCTCCTCTGAGCTGCAGTTTCCAAGTTTCTTCTAAGCTTCTGTCTCACAGAGCAGCAGCCCTCCCCCACAACTCTCCCACTCAGCTCCTACAGACTAGCCAGCAGCAATTGGCAAACACCTGATGTAGCTGTGCACCTGCTGAGCTCAATATAAGAGCTACTTCTCAGTGCGACGCTGTTAAAAACATTGTTAAAGGGTTAATAGAGGAGCCATGTTGTGATGACTTCCTGAAGAAATAGGAGTTTTTAAACAGACAGAGGCCAGATTTTAAGCTATTAAATTACAAAGTAAATCTTCTTTTAAGTCATACTTGATATACATGCAGCATTTTTATAACAACTGAAGGTAACATAGTTTATTGATTATGCTACAAAATGGCACTATGTGCCTGGAAAACACATAATTCTGCCTCTTTCATCCTGTCATTTTTGGTCCTCAATATTCCAGTAGTATTCCATTCCCCTCTATTCATACATTTACACTAAGTGTATTATAAAAAGCTGTATCTTTCAATGTTACATCAGACTCCAGCTGTTCCTCATCATCAAGCCTTCAGGTGGAACTTCAGTAAGCAACTTTTTAATTGGCCTTTAACTAGAAAAGCAGCTCCATCTAATCAGGGGCCTGTCACGTCCGCCTGTGCCTGCTGTCTCATTTTCTGTGGGTTAATGCGTTTCACTCAACACATTTAGTAAATCTCCCAGACCAGGATTACTGCATCAGAGGGATTTAGGATCTCTGCCTGCCCAACACATGTTGCACAGTTACCTTTGTGCATTGTGCTCTCATGTTGTTCCTGCAGAATTGTCTCTCTCATGAGCAGCCAGCATTTTTCAGATCTGCTGGTGTCTCACACCAAACCGTGTGTGTTATATGGACCAGTGGTGGCTGTAAATATGACCGGCTGCATCCTTTTTGTTTTTGACATGGAAGGAAACTGAGATCAGCAGGAGGAAGCTGATCAACCAACTTTTAATGTCATTTTGAGTCGAAAAGGATTTTTCTTTGTTTGCTTACTAAGGTGTCCTTTAAACCCCAGAAAAACAAACAGTTACTGTTACTTTGTTGTTGTTGTTGTTTTTTGGTTAGATGAAAGAGGATTACCTAAAGATTTTTATTTACTGATTTAATTGATACTGATTCCTACGTTTTCTTTGAATAGAAATTGATTCCCTTGCTGCCAGTTTTGACAGCAGTATTTTAACCCTTTGTTGTAGTGCAATGAGCACAGCAAAGAGAAGTGGCTTCAGTCCATTTGGATCAGTACCTTCAGCCCTGATGCGTTCTGCAGCAGCAGCTACTGGAGACAAGCCTGCTAGAGGGGCTTTCTCCCTGGAGAAGGAGAAGCAGAAAGACGGGACTGCTTGTGAGAAGCAGGAACAGGCCTCTGTCGGTCGCGTGTTGGAGGAATTTTTCTGGATCGGAACCAGCATTGTGGCTTTTTCCAAATGGCGTCTCGGCTACATGGGTAAGCTGAGTCAGAGAGTCGAAGAGTCGGATAGTTTTAACTGAATGTTACTAGAAATTAGTCTTCACAAGGTTAATTTTTTTCATATCTCCAGTCGACTGCATCAGGTCAGGTGAGAGTGCTGAAGGGAGACATGATGAGGTTTGACAGAATGAGATAGATGTGCATCACCTTATGACCTCAGTTTATGCAAAACTGGACAACTAATCAATAATTCCACCACTTAAGTTAGTTGTAAAGATTTGGAAGAAATTAGATTTGATTTTGCCCTATTTATTTATTCTTTTATTTAGCTGTCAGAGGTGACTCTGTGACAAATGGAATTTGTCCAGAAATAGTGTTTTATAGCTGTTAAATACTATTATTAAATAGTACCATGATTTTCATCTTAATTTACTCCCATTTTGCTCTGCAGTCCTTTTTTTGCAGTCATCACTGAGTTTTCAGATCTCACTCACCAAGTTGGCCTTTATTATTTCCCAGAACTTGAGAGCTCATCACCAAAAAAAGCTCTAGAGCGATTTTGAATGACAGATTCTTTTTGCACATGGAATTTTTGTTCTTTCTAGACCAAAAACTGAAATAAAGAACTGATAATTCCAGCTGACTCTCTCTGATGGGTCATGGCCAGCACAGAAATGAAACTTGAGGTTTAGCAGCAATGTGACATTTGTCCCGGTTGTGGAACGTGTCATGATTCGCCTCCATTTATCCACAATCCTTTTTTCTGTAGCCTTCCACACTTTCTCATCTAGCATCAGAAAAGTGTCACTACGCTGCAACCAAAGTAGTATTAAAATATTAAACTGCAACATCTGGTGCAGTGAGTTAACACATTGGAATACAGCACACTTGCTCTGCTGTGCTTTATAAAGAGCACAATTATATTTCACACTTCCGCGGTTTGTAAATTTCCCACTGCAGCCGTGAAGGTGTTGAAATCACAGGGTACCACATGCTGTTAAACTCACTTCGCAGCACTTCTGTGCTAATCTTAACCACAGACTCATGACTGGCATCTTCACATCATGGAGCCTCCTGACAACGTGAGCCTGGTTACTACGGTAATTACACTACCTGTTCATCACAGTGACATCCTTTTTGTGTCCTAAAGATGTAAAATATCTTCACCACCTTTTGTTTGCCCCCAAAATTGCCACGGATCCCACAGAATCACTTGTTTGTTTTTAGTATTTGTTTGGGACATAAGGTCTGAGCCAACAACCCCCCTCCTGCTTCTCCTCCAGCTTAACCTGGTTTTCTGACAGAAGAGGCGAGCAGATAATTCCACCTGCTTGGCACACATTTTCCCAGTGGCACTAGGTCAGCCATGAAAAGACGTTCAGTTATTCCTCTGACCTCTGCTGTGTTTCTCAGCCACCGTCTGCCGTCTGCGCTTCACTTGACCTCTTTACCAAGTGGGTCACAGAGAGGTGGAACATTTGCGGTCAGGTTTTAGAAACTTTCAATTGAATCTGGGGGTCATTTAAACAAACTCCCATATCCAAACAGCATCCATGCCATGAATTATGAGTCGCATGAAGAAGCATGCGTACGTGTGGATTTGGAATGTTTCATGGTCTAAAACACATGTGGGCCCCAAATTTTCACATTGGTTAAATATTTCCAGATATATCATACATGTTTACATGTTTCCCATGTGCGTCACATATTTCCACATGGTTGAACATGTGGAGATGTGTGATGCACATGAAAATATGTGAAACCCATGTGAAAATGTGAATCAAATGGATTTTCACCATGAAACTTTCCACATGTATACATGTTCTTTTTCATTGGACTCATCACTCAAATGGTGTTACAGTGTTTTGGTCAAACTTTCAGATTTGGTCCAACTCTAATGCTACTTATGACCTCATCTGGCGTTAATATGCTTCTTTTTTTATGAATAAATCTGTGCCTGAGAATTGTTGAGCTGACACTAGTTTTGTTTTTTCAGCTGACATTGGATTGGACCTTGTTTTTGTTCATTTTGCCATCCACATGCAATCACTTTGTAAATCTGAAGTTGTAACCATGGCAACAAGCCCAGATTCTTGCCTGTGCATTATTTATTTATGTACTTCCCATGCACTTTTTGTTTCTGCACCTGTACTAGGTGTTGGATGTGTGCTGCTGCTGCTGCAGTGTTTAAACCAGCATCTTTCAGGCTGACTGTATCACTATCTAC